TAAATTGGACTGGTGTCTGATTTTATGTGGATATATCAAGAGAGGGGAGGTTCAGTCCAGACTGAATACTGGGAAACATGACTGGATGATGGGTCAGAATAGATCCATCATGTAGAGAAAGCAGCCAGACATGGCAGCAGAGGTAGAAGGTCATAGGAGGAGACTGCGCCGAGTCCCAATGAGCAGTTAGTGGAGATCATTTTGAGAAGCAGATTTATACAGGCAGAGGAAAGTCAGAGATATCAGTGGGCACTAGCTGGAGAGTCAGAGGCAGGCATATGATCAGCTTGTTTATCTCTGGTTCTCTTGATGTGTGGCATCCACACCTAAGGTTTAATGGGACATTCTCAGATACACTTCCTATCTATTAAGAGCTACATCTTTTTCATTCTTCTACTTCTCAAAATTGCTGTATGTGATACTTTGGCTAAGAGGATTCTTGCTTGTGTCTCAAGCTCATGACTCCATGTTTTGCTAGTTGGCTCCATGTTGCTGACAGCACTCCCCTCACCCCACCCCCCAAGGGTGGACAACACCACAGACACCATCTACAAGGTTGGACAATTAAGTTTCTGAACTGATTCTAGAAAAAGTGCTACCTACCTCGTTACTGAAGATCACTATGGTTGCAGGTGGCTAAGGGGAATACTTTGAAGGTGACAATAGTTTATTCACCAATAAGGTATGTAGCACTTTTTCTAGAATGAGTTAAGGAAATTAATGACAATAGTTCTGATGGTCATTCTAGAGAAAGCATTCCAAAATAGCTTTGAAGGGTGGACCAGGTTCTGGCACCAGTGCATAGCTTCCAAAGGGGAGCTTTGTAGGGGACCATAGTTATTGATATTCAGTTATTGATTTTCTAGTCTAGTGCTCTTTCTAGGATAAGTTCATGAACTTGTTTTACTTCAAGTTTTTACATAGGCTCTGATTTGTAGCCCAAACCCCAAATGCAGCTCTTATAGTTTCCTGTGTCCCATAGAAGTGGTCACATCATCTTGCTTGTCCCTTTTGGACTGCTCATCTGGTCAGCTTGGGTCTTTGCTCTTTTTTTGACCCTAGACAATGTTTTCTCAAGGATTTTGGATTCTATGCTCCACAGCCCACAGGTCACCATTGCTCTATTCAAGCATTTATTTTAGTACCGTTGACAGGGTCAGAACCTTAAAGGGGTTAGTCATCTCAGGCAATTACTATACTCTCTGGCAGGTGTTCATGTGGCCAGTTATATGTCAGGTCTAACATTGAGGTGACTTTCTATTTTCTTGTGTTATTTGTGTGATGAAGTAGAACTTTATCATTGCCAAATAGTGCTGTGGATTTGAAAATAAACAAAGCTTATATGGTGAATACAGCTTACAAATAAAAACAAAGAAATAAAATATATATCTTTTCCACTTGCAAATATTTTTTCATTTACTGGCTTGGGAACTGAATTACATTTAGGTTCAAAGTTTTAAAAAATGCATTGATTTTCAAAAATAATCTTTGTTATTTTAGAAGGGTTTTAGATTTACAGAAAAATTGGGAAGATAGTACAGAATTCCGAAATTCCCCAAACCCACTCTTCCCCATCATGAACATACGACATTCATGGCACATTTGTCATGATCAATGAATTAATACTTCCACATCACTATTGCCCAAAGCCCATAATTTATCCAAATTCCTTTTGCTTTTCCCTTGTGTCCTTTTCCTGTTCCAGGATTCCATCCAGGTTACCACATTACATTTAGTCACCATGTTTTCTTAGCTTTCATTTGGCTGTGATTATTTCTCAGAGTTCCCTTGTTTTTGATGACTTTAACAGTTTTGAATAATACTGGTCAAGGTTTATATATAACATCTCTCAATTGGGATACATTTGATCTTTTTATTATTAGACTAAAATTATGAGGTTTGGGGGCAATATCATGAAGTGGCATTTTTATCACATCAAGATTACAGATGACAGACATTTATCACCACTGATGATCCAGCTCCCCAGACCAAGGTAGTGCTGGTCAGGTTTGCCCACTGTGAAATTACTCTTTTCTCCTCCTTTTCACAGCATAGTCTTTAGAAGGAAGTTACCATGCACCATGGAGAGAGAAACTCTATCCGTGTGAGTGCTAATATTTATGTGAATTATTTGTAATTCTTGTTCATGACAGATTTGTTTACTCTCTTTTATTTATCTATTTACTTATTTATATGTTTATTTAGTCAGTCATTTATTTATATCAGTATGAACTCCTAGACATTTATTTGACACTGGGATATCTTCTAATACTACTTTATTTGCTTATTTGTAAAATAAATTTCTGTTTTAGGAAAGTTTTAGGTTCACAGAAAATGCAGAGAGTTCCCACATACCTCTTTCCTCTGTACGTGAGCAGACTCTTACAGAGGGCGGTACATTTATTAGAACTGACAAATCTACATTGCCACCCCATTATCACCTCGTCCTTATTTTATGTTAGAATTCACTCTTGGTGTTTTGACAAATATATAATGACATATATCTACCATTATAGTAGCCTACAGAATACGAGTAGTTTCCTACTTCAAGAGTCCGCTGGGCTCTGCCTATCCATCTGTCCCTCCTTGCTAAGCCCTGACAAGCACTGATCTGTTTATTGTCCCCATAGTTTTGCCTTTTTCCTAGAATGCCATATAATTGGATCATACAATATATAGCCTTTTCAGACTGGTTAATGTCACTCAATAATATGTCCATGCATATGCATTTAAGGTTCCTTTATGTCTTTACTTTAGTACTAAATGTATAATTATCTGGATGTACCACAGTTAATTTATCCATTCATCTACCAAAGTCCATCTTGGTTGCTTCCAAATTTTGACATTATGAATAAAGCTTCTGTAAACATTCATGTCCAGGTTTTTGTGTGGACATAGGTTTTCAACTCTTTCAGGGTTGAGCTAATTGCTGGATTACATGGGAAGAGTATGTTTGGTTTTATAAGAAACCGCCAAACTGTTTCAAAGTGGAGGTACCATTTTGCATTCCCACTAGTCATGAATGAGAGTATCTGTTTCCCCACATCGGTTACCTGCATTTGGTGTCGTCAGTGTTTTGTATTTGGCCCATTCTTCTGGGGGAACAGTAGTACCTTGTTTTAACTGGCGATGTGCTAATGACACATGATGCTGAACATCTTTTCCTGTGCTTCTTTCTCATGTGTGTCTTCTTTGATGCGGTGTCTGTTTAGGTCTTTTGCCTACTTTTTTCACCAGGTTTTATTTATTTATTTTTGAGATAGGGTCCCACTACATTGCCCTTGGTAGAGTGCTATGGTGTCACAGCTCACAGCAACCTTAAACTCTTGGGCTTAAGTGATTCTCTTGCCTCAGCCTCCCAAGTAGCTAGGACTACAGATGCCTACCACAACTAGTTTTTTTTTTTTGTTGTTGTTGTTGTTGTTCTATTTGTCATTGTTGTTCAGCAGGCCCGGCCTGGGTTCAAACCTGCCAGCCCTGGTATATGTGGCCAGCACCCTAACTGCTGAGCCATGGGCACCAAGCCAGGTTTATGTGTTTTTATAGTTGAGTTTTAAGTGTGTTTTTGTAGACTGTCCTTTGACTAACAGCCCTTTATCATATTTGTCTTTTACAAAGATTTTGTCCCAGTCTAATTTGTTTTCTCATCTTCTTTAACAATGTCTTTCAGAGACTTGAAGTTTTTAGTTTTAAAGAAGTCTAGCTTATTAAATTTTTTTGATGGGTACATTGCTCTAGACAAGATTATTGAGATTTTTCTCCTGTGTTATCTTTCAGGAGTATTGGGATTTAGCATTTTACATTTAGGTATGTGATCCATTTTGGGCTAGTTTTTGGGAAGGGTATAAGGGATGTGGGTAGATTCCTTGTTATCATTTACTTATTTATTTTAACCTGTGGATGTTCAGTTGTTGAAAGAAACTTATCTACGTTGAATTTCCTTTCCTTCCTTTGCCAAGGACTAGCTGACTGTATTTACATCTGTCTGTTTTGCCACTCAAATTGTTCTAGCTTTGGCTGATGAGGGCTCCTTTGGTTAACTTCTGTGTTCCCTTGAAATATTCTCATCTTTTCTTTTCCTTTCTGAGAATTCTTTACTTTCTGGCACAACAATATACTCTAAACTCATCTTTTGTATTTCCTGCTCTATTCCCAGAATCAGCTATTTCTCGTAGAAGATGGTAAATAGATCAGTGATTGCCAGAGGGCAGTGGGGGAGATGGGTCTATGGTTAGGTCAAATTATTCTGTATGATACTATCATGATGGATATATGACACCATTTATTTGTCAAAACCAATAAAAATATGCAGCACAGTGAACCTTACTGTATGCAAAATTTTTAAATCTATTTAGGAAATAGACTTGTTGGCCAGAGCCAAGATATAGGGCAGAAGTGACAAGAGATTATAACTATTACAAATGTACGAAACAACCTCATGGAAAAGGGATGAAAGGCAAAGGTGCTGAGCTAAGTAATTTTGCAAATAAATAGAGAATGGAGAATGGTATTAGATGCTAAGAGCTAAGGGTGAAGTCTACTCTGTTACTGGGATGTCATTGTTTTTAGTCCTCTCAGATAACAGAATAAGGAAATAGATGCATTTCTACTAATGCATAGACACACCAGCAAATCCCCTCTCCCCCACTGTATGTTTATATAAGTAACCTTATCTGTATCTTCATTGAACTAATTTGTTCATAATAATATCCCCAACTCTAACACATTCCTATATTGTATTTTTCCTAATTTGATCATGAGGTCTCTTTAGGGAGTAGCTCATGGCTATAAAATCCAACCCTGCTTGAAGAGGCCCTCCGGACATTCCCAGTGTGTCTTTCCCAGGATAATTCTTTACTCCAGTGGATGGCACAATACCTGTGTGTCTGACATGTGACCAGCTGTCCCTCTTGCAGGAAACTTGTTTATATTGGCAGCTGCCTTTACGGCTCTTGCCTGACCTGTGCTCAGTTTTTCCTATCATAGAGTGCTCACAGAGAGCACCTACCATGAGAGAAGTCCAGTTTGGGTTTGTTGGAACAGCTGAGACACAGAGAAGAAACCCCAGAGAGAAGAGGCCAGTGGCAGCATGCCTGTCTCAACTAGTAGGTGGGGAGTGAGAGGCAGAGAGAGGGACTTGTTGGCCAAAGCCAAAGGGCAGGGCATTACTCAAGCAGATTTCCTGCATCTGATTGTTTTAGAGCTCACAGGCACAAATTTCATGAAGTCACCTGTGATTGGGAGCTGGTAACTGTGAGTATCGTGCAGTCCATGCACAAGGTGGGGGTCAGTGGGTTGAGTCAAGTAGGCTGTCTCTGCCGGTCTCATGGGAAGATGGTCACCATGAAGTAGTTGTGTAAGGCAGGTGTCTGGATCTATCACATTGAGAAAATGGGGGAGGTGGAGAACTGGGGAGTATATCAAAGGTGACTGAACCCTGCTTCTGGCATGAGAAAGTCCAACTTACGTTCCAAATGGATGCTGAAGCAGTCCAAAGTTATATAATATTTCACTACACATTTTTATCATTCTTGCCTTCTCTTCTTTCCTAATTGTAACCTGTCACTCCAGGGAGCAATCGTGTGACCACCACTGACCATTCTTCTACTTAACAGCTCAGGGTTGGGGATACCTGCATACTGGTTTCGATTGTTGACCTATAACCTGTGGGAAGTAATTTTATCAAAAAGAATTCAGTGGTTATATGCCTATTTTTTCCCTTTAATCTTTTAGACTGCACTGATTTCCAAAGTTATTTAGCTCAGTGCCTTCCCCCATCCCTTTTCCATAAGGTGTTTTGTACATTTGTAATAGAGTTATAGTCTCTTGTCACACTCTGCACTGTATCTTGGGATCCTTCTACTTCCTAAATAGATTTTTAAATTTTGCATACATTAAGGTTCACTGTGCTGTACATTTTTCTTGGTTTTGACAAATAAATGGTGTCATCTATCCATCATGATAGTATCACACAGAATAGTTTCACCTATCCATAGGACCCGTCTCCCCACTGCCCTATGGCAATCATTGATCTGTTTATTGTCTTCAAAGTTTTGCCTTTTCCACAATGTCACATACATGGAATTACACAATATGTAGTTTTATCAGACTGTCCTCTTTCACAGTGCATTACCTTTAATAGCCGACTAGCATTCCCTTGCTTGGATGTCTGACAGTTCCTACTGAAGGGCATCTTAGTTATTTATATTTTTGGTGATTATGAATAAAGCTTCTATAAACAGTCATGTGCAGGTTCATGTGGACAATATTCAGATTAGTCGGGTAAATATCAAGGTGCACAATTGCTGGATCATGTGATGAAACTGTTTAGCTTTGGAAGAAACTGCCAAACTGCTTTCCAGAGTGGTGGTGGCCTTGCATTCCGCCAGCAGTGAATGGGAGTCCTTTTGCTCTGCATCCTGCCAGCCACTGTATTGCCAGTGTTTTGGAATTTAGCCATCATAATCAGCATGTAGTGCTATCTCATTGCCATTTTAATTTGCATTTCCCTAATGACAAATGATGCCGGGCATCTTTTCATATGCTTATTGGCCATGTCTTCTTTGGTGAGGTGTCTAATTCTTTTGCCCATTTTTAAATTGGGTCATTTGGTTTTTATTGTTGAGTTTTAGAGTTCTTTGTGTGTTTGATACAAACCCATTATCAGATATACGATTTGCGAACATTTTTCTCCCACTGTGTGGCTTGCTTTTTATTCTCTTGACAGATACTTCAGAGAACAGAAGTTTTCAGTTTTCATCAGATCTGATTTGTCAATTTTTCCTTTCATGGATTGTGTGTCTCTTTTTACATTTAAGAACTGATCATCAAGCTGGGTGCCCGTTGCTCAGTGGTTAGGGCTCCGGCCACATGCTCCAGGGCTGGTGGGTTTGAACGTGGACTGGGCCTGCTAAACAAAAACAAATAGCCATAGCTAGATGTTTTTGGAGGTGCTTGTAATCCCAGCTACTAGGGAGGCTGAAGCAAGAGAATTGCTTGAACCCAAGAGTTTGAGGTTGCTGTGAGCTATGAAGCCATAGCATACTACCAAGGGTTTTAAAGTGAGATTCTATCTCAAATAAAAAGAAAAAACAACTCACCATCAAATTCATGGTTACAATTTTTTTCTATTTCTCTTTGAAGTATTATAGTTTAACATCTTTCGTTTAGGTCTATGATTCATTTTGATTTTACTTTTGTGTAAGATACAAGAACTTTGTTTTATTTATTTGTTTTTGTTTTTTGTATATGAACATCCAATTGCTCCCATTCCATTTACTGAAAACTCTGTTCTTTCTCCATTGAATTGTCTTTATCAAAATTCAGTTGAATATATTTATTTGTGTCTACTTCTGGATTTTTTTATATTTACAAAACTTGGATTTACAAGTATAAACTTAAAGTAATTTTAAAATTAGTTAAACTTAAACTATTTTAAACTTAAACTAATTTTAAAGTTATCAAGAGAGTAAATAACTTTCATAGGATTTTACAATGACTTTAAATATTGTACATATGACCTTAAGATGCATTTATTGTAAAAGTGGAGCAGAGCAGGATTTTAGCTAACTTATTCCTACCATGCTGTATATATGAAATGAAACTGGGCCCTTAATCACACAACCACTTACTATGTTCTGCAGTTAGGGTATCCATTGGTCTGCATCTTTACTAAAGCTCCCGAATTCTCTTTTGTTGTTGCAGAAGAATATCAACTACATTCCTGGATTAATTGAAAACAAAGATATCTGATTTTACATCCAGCAGTTACTTGGCGTACAGCTTATTCTCAAACCAGGTACTAAATATTTTTGCACAATCCAACTGGTAGCTTCAATGATAATGAATGAGTGAGGATGGAAGGATGTGAAAACTCTGTATCGTATCATATCATACCGCTCTGCCTTCCGTGAGGTCTCTCCTATCTTCATTGGTATACACAAGGGAAAAAAAAAATCTAAGTTTTAAAAGATATAGCAAAACTAGATTAAACTATCTTCAACATTTTTGTTTTATTTTAAAAACAATAATTCTAAAACATTTTATATATTAAAAGAGTTGACAAGCTGATTCTAGTTATTGGTAGAGTCCTGCAATAATATTGGGTAAAATATTAAGGATTTCTCAATTTTTTTTAACTTAATGCAATGCCTTTATTATTTTCAAATATGGCCCTATTACCGTTAACTAGAATAACCATGTTCAGAATACTAGGATGTAAATGTGGAATATACTGATACAGGTTTTGAAAGTTTACCTATAGATAAATCTATAATAACATTGAATAGTAATATAAGGTATATAGTTTAGGACTTTTGTGTTTTTCATTGCCTTGACTGAATTGTTCTTTGGGGCAATCTCATTAGCACACACTCAAGGACACTACAGGCAAGAGTCCTGTGAAGTCCAGTGCTTTGTCTAATATAAGATTGCTATTTTGATATGTGCATATTAGCAAGAGCATAAAACTTATATCAGGTTGTATTTTCCAAAAAGTACCTCATTATATATTTCCCATTCCCACATGCTGTTGTGTAATGTGTGACCTGATACCCCTTCAACAAAAGATGGCGCTACTTTTCCTAGCCCCTAACACAGGATGGGCTTTGTAACTGACTGTTTTAGCAGAAGTGAACTATTTGATTTCAGAGGCTAGATGGTAAGAAGACCTCAGCCTCGACCAGAGCCTTGTGGAATGCCTGCCTGTGGGTTTGGGATGCTCCCACAAGGATATCAGAATCTTTTTTAAAAGTATCAATTGATGTATGGGGTACAAGTGGATTTGTTGTTTTGTTTTGTTTTTTGTTACATGGATGGATTATATAGTGGTAAAGTCAGGGCTTTAGAATCTCTTGTCACCTGAATAGTATGTGTTGTACTCAGTCCATCTCCCATTTTCCCCTGGCCAAGTCTCCAAAGTTCCTTATGCTTATCATCCAAATCCCTGGCTGTGGAGCAGGCCTGTTAGGAATTGGGCCCTGCAGCCTGGGTGAGTGGCTGCTCCCCATCACTTGCATCATTGTCTGAGGCAGATGAGGAGCGGCATTTGTTCTCACAGGAGAGCAAACCATGAACTGTGAATGGCACACACGAGGAGTATAGGTTGGCTGCTCCTTATGGGAATCTAACGCCTGATGGCCTGAGCTAGAGATGTAATGCCCTTGAATTATTGAAAACTAGGACCACCCATGAAATTGTCTGTCATGAAACCTGTTGCTGGTGTCAAAAAGGTTGAGAACTGCTGGCTGTACGACTCTGTGTGACCATATGTACCCATCATTCAGGTCCCACTTATAAGTGAGTAAATGTGTATTGTTGTTCCATCCCTGAGATACTTCACTTAGGATTATGGTTTCCAGTTCCATCCACATTTCAGTAAAACAAATATGACCCACAGGAAGTGTATTAAAGATTCATGGCATTAGGAAGGTTGAGAACTACTGATCTATGTCTTTCTTCACTCATCAGTTGATAGGCACTTAATTTGATTTCATATCTTTGTAATTGTGCTTTGATAAAAATATAGGGTGTAGATGTCTTTTTGATATATACCTTCTTTTCTTTTGGGTAGCTACCCAGTAGTGAGAGGAATAATCCTTATATTGTTTTCCATAAGTGTTGTACTAACTTACATTCTCACCAACAGTGTATAGGCATTACTTTTTCACCACACGTGTGTGTGTATGTGTATGTGTGTGGGGGTATATATATATATATATATATAAAAGATGCTTGTGGACTTTTCAATAATGGCCATTCTGACATAGGTAAGGTGGAATCTCATCATGGTTTTAATTTGCATTTCCCTGATGACTAGTGATGTTAAGCATTTTTTCATATTTTGTTGGACATTCGTATATTTTCATTTGAAAAACATCTGTTCATGTCTTTTGTCCAGTATTTTAACAGAGTTATTTTTTTCTTGCTGATTTGAGTCCCTTATAGATTCTGGATGTTAGTCTTTTGTTATATGTATAGTCTGAATATTTTTTTTTTCATTCTATAAGTTGTCTATCTAAACTATGTTTTTATTTATTTATTTGCTATGTAGAAACTTTTTAGTTTAAGTGCACTTACTTATTTTTGTTTTTGTTGCATTTGCTTTGGGGGGGTCTTAGTTATAAATTCTTTGCCCAGGCCAAAGTCCAGAAGAATTTTCCCTAAGTTCGCTTCCAGAATTTTTATGGCATCAGGTTATATATTTAAGTCTTTATTCCATCTTGAGTTAATTTTTGTGTATGTGAACAGTAAGGATTCAGTTTCATTCTTTTGCTTGTGGCCACCCAATTTTCCAACTCCATTGGTTAGATAGAGTATCCTTTCCTCAAGGTATGCTTTGGCCTGCTTTGACAAAGATGGTTTTATTTATGAGTTCTCTATTCTGTTCCATTGATCTGCATGTTTATTCTTCTACCAGTACCATGCTGTTTTGGTTACTATAGTCTTGAAATATTATTTGAAGTTGGGTAATATGACACCTCTGGATTTATTCTTTTTGCTTAAGATTTCTTTGGCTGTTCAGGTTCTTTTTTAGTCCATATGACATCTGGGATTTCTTTTCTATTCTATTAAAAATGAGATTGGTATTTTGATGGGATTTGTGTTGAATCTGTAAATCATTTTGGGCAGTATGAACATTTAACAATATTGATTATTCTAATCCATGAACATGCAATTTTTTTTGTTTGTGTCATCAATTTCTTTCATTAGTGTTTTATAATTTTCTTTGTAGAGACCTTTAATCTTCTTGGTTAAATTTACTTAAGTACTTTATATTTTCTGCGGCTCTTATAAATGATATTGACCTCTTGATTTGATTATTAATTTGGCTATTATTATTGCCTAGAAATGTTACTGATTTGTGTACATGAATTTTATAACCTGAGACTTTATTGATTTATTTATCAGTTGTAGAATCTTTTTGGAGAGGCCTTTAGGGTTTTCTAGATATTAAATCACATCTTCAAGCAAACATGGTAGGTTCAATCTCCTCTTTCCCAATTTTGATGTCCTTTATTTCTTTCTCTTACCTAATTGCTCTGGCTAGAATCTCCAATACTATGCTGAATAGAATTGGAGACAATGGAAATTCTTGGTCCAGTTTTCAGGGGAAATAACTTCTACCTTTCTCTATTCAGTGTAATTTTGCCTGTGGATTTATGATATATGGCTTGTATTATTTTGAGTTATGTTCCTTCTATGCCTAGTTTGTTAAGAGTTTTTATAATGAAGAGGTGCTGGATTTTATCAAATGCTTCTTCTGTATCTATTCAGATGCCCACATGGGTTTTTATAAAATTCTGTTCATATGGTGGATCACAGTTTTGGATTTGTCCATGTTGAATTGTCCTTGCATACCTGGGATGAAACCCACTTGATCACAGTGAATTATTTTTTTTGAAGGATTCCACAACCTATGCTGTGTAAAACCCACATGACTTGGAGAGACCAGGAATGGGTGCTTTGTGGGCAGTCCCTCTTGGGATTATAGTGGAGAGCCATGTCCAACCTCTATAGCCCCAGTTATCATCTGCCCACAGTTTCTTGGGAAACCCTGGGTGATAACTGATTGAGGTCAATCAAGCAACAGTAACATTAGAAACAATAGCAAGACATTTTTTCTCAAACACTATGTTTTGGAGTAGTTTTGTTGCCCAGTAATAGATATCAGGAAAAAACAAGTGCAGCACTCGTTGTGCAGGAGTTTTTACCTCCATTTTATGATTCTACCCTTCTTTTCCTTTGACTCAACTCTCTTATTTGCTTTCTATTCAAACTGTTCAGTTTATAATTTATGCATTATTGTAAAATGCCTTGTATTCATTTCAGAAGAAGGTAGTATGTATATAATTCTTTTGTATTCATATCATATTTAACTCAAAAAATATATATTAATCCACTTAACTTTTCTGAGTATAAAGGAAGTGGAAGGAGAGATATCAAGAAGGAGCATTATGCTTCTGCTTTCAAAGAGATAGAGATTTGATGAGTAAGAAAAAGCTTTCTATTTGTTGGGTATTATTGGGCCAATTAGAAAAAAATGTTTGGCTGTGCAGAGTTATTCAGCATATTCAATCTATGCATGTGAATCTGCTTGGAAATAAATGACACAATGCTAAATACATCTTACATGTTAGCACACAGAAGAATAAAGGACTATTCCTAATCTCTGAGGTATTCTTTATCAGAATGACGAGGTTTGCAGACAAAGATGGCAGAAGTAACAAAAGATCTGAATTCTCAAATTAGTAACTCATAAAAGTCCTAGTTCATTTATCTTAGAAACTTGCAATCTCTAGTTTACTAAGTATGGAAACTAGGAATTACCTTTACATTATCAGAAAGAAATCTTATTCTTCAGGAAACAACGCTGAACATTTAAATAGCATAAATAACAGGTAAAACCAAATAAATGCATTTTGCATACAAGGAACAGGCATTTATTACAGAACATTTCTTCTTTTCTATTGAAGATTCCTTTGTTAGTTTTTCTCATGTATTAAAATATAAAATAGTCCACCTGCTTATGTCCTTAAAGATATCAGGATTGTGTTTTAAAGGAACAGGTTTTCTATTGTTTTACATTCGGCAAGAGCAAATGAAATGACTATAAACCGTCCTAAACAAAGAAGATGAAGTTCCCAATAATGTTAGTGTAAATCTCTCACTCATTCATGGGCATACGTGGAAAGCTGAGTTGTTCCTTCCTTGCCTCGTTTGTTAAGAGTCTAACCAAATTTGGGCAAACTAAAATGTCTTTTCTTTAGATACATTGCGTTTAAAGAAGTCATAGTTTTC